TATTTGCAGGGAAAGGTAACAAATCCTGAGGGGGGAAGATTACTGATCAAATATTTAGGATTAAAAGAAGCTTCTAATAGGCTTTAATGAACTAAAGTAAGTAAGGAAATATAAGGATACTGATCCACTATCCTGAACAAGCTGAACAACAATTGTGAGGGATGACCGGGGATGTCTGGAGGTAAGCACAACTGGCTCACAACTGTTGCGGATAACTCTCTCTAAAAGTTTTTCAGCGCAGCCTGTGAAATTAAGAAAATAGGAAACAAGCTTGCTAAGTTAATCAATCATTCAATCAATCTTTATTTACACATATGAAACTGATGAGCCCAAAGAGCAGAAGGCTTGACAAAGAAAGTTGACTTCGCTGTGCCCTTTAAATCTGGTTCTTTGTCAACTACTTTCACTTTAATTTTCCTCGACGAATAATAGGTCACAATCCTCTCGGAAAGATAAATAAGTTTAGAATCTAAGATATTTTGAGCTGAGATTCATTTGAGACTTCAAACTCAACAATGATGTATATATGGTCACCCTGTTCTTATGTACCTGGTAAGCCAACTTTGGGTCTGAAAACAACTTCTAGAGTAGCCTTGTCAATGAGTTCTTTACTTGATCTGACTTCTGCCGGACCATAAGCTGCCGCCATCACGTGGGTATTCCCTGAAACGATGTAAAAAATCATGAACTAAAAGAAAGTATCAAAATGTCACTAGATTGCTAACATCCAATGTCGTTCTGAAGGTCGTATAAAACTGGAGTTAGAGGAAAACCTTGAAAAAAGCTTGCTGATCCATCTGTTTTGTTCAAGAGGCTCTGTTCACATCGCAGAGACCTCAACTCCGATGAAAATCGTGGAATATTCAAATCCATTGCCTCATCCGCCATTTTGATTTCAGCGTGTTCGCGGGCTCGTGGTCGTTTCCAAGTCAAATCTATTGCTTCCCTGTACCTCCCTACTGGAGTTTACTTGCCCCCATATGGTTAAGTATTATCTTACTCATCTTTCTTATTTCTCCATGTAAAGATATGACGATATATACAATTATGAATTGTAAGTAAATAGAGAAATTCTTCTCCTTAAATCATTAAAAAAACGACGATTTTGGTTTTAAACCTTAAGCTGCAGGTACACCTTGCACATTTCTTGTTGTCGATAGTTCTCATCGCTACCAGTAGGGGGTGAGTAAGGTGTCGGGATAAACTAAACATGGCTGCCTCAACGTGGCTTTTGAGAAGAGCGCTTGTTGGGTCCCGTGGTGTATCATATCACATAAAAAAGCTACCTAACACTTTAAAGGCATTGAGAGTAAGTTTTCCATGCGATTTACTGTTATGGGTGCCAAAACGCCTGTTGAAACTTCACAAATACTCTTTTTGAACTTTTTGTACGCCTTTCAGTTGTGTTCGTCTAGCTCCAGTGCAGGAAGACCCCAACATGAATACCAAGACAAGCCAAGATTTCCAGGCGCTTTGAACTCATATTACACAGAAAAATTGGAATTTGATGATCCAGACGATGGAGAAGCCATCCCGGTCTATCGTGTCATGGATCGAAATGGAAAAGTCTTTAACGAAGCCCATGACCCCAAGGTGTGCTGCTGGTTTTTTTACCTCCATTTTCTTTGATTTTTTTTCCAGGGAGATCGAGAAGTTGTTGCGTCGTCATTCCCCCAGACATTTAGACAAGCTTTTCTCTTTTTTTGCCTCTCCCGAAATGACAGATTCTCGAGATTCCAGGGAGAAGAGTTTTCTTATTGTTGTTTTAATCGACGTGTTCCCTTGACATTGCCTTGGGGGTGTGTTGGGGGCTGGGTCATACGGGAGTTGTTTCCCCTTTTCCATTTCCCTTACGTTGTTCCCTTTTTTTTTTTCAAATAAGTTTTGGTTCTGAAATTTCTAAAACATTAGTGTAAAATTACTGATAACATTGTTACCTGTTTTTCTTAGATGATGGTTTTGAATGTTTGTAGAAATTTGCTTTGAAGTAGTGATATGACATTCTTCCATTACATGTTTCTTTCCTTCACACTTTTTTTTTCACAATGAGTTCCATACAGACCATCTCTTTATTTCTTAGCCACTGTAGAATACTGAGTCAAATGAATTTTTTTTTAGGCAGCCAAAAAATATTTTGAGAAAATGACCATGGTATAATATACCTCTTATTATTCAGCTAAGGCATTTTGTTTTTGTTGTAGCTTGACAAAGAAACAATAAAAAACATGTACAAGCAGATGACTCTCTTGAATACCATGGACCGTATCCTCTACGAGTCACAAAGACAGGTTAGACAAGCTAAGAGATATATAATCAGAGGGAGATGTTGTGTCCTTGTAGTTAGCCTGCTTAATGACCCTGCATTGAAAGATGTATACTGAGTTCAAGAGCTTGCTGGGAACATGAGTCAAATCTTTGTACTCTGCCCACCTGGGAGTTCAGACCCAATACTCCAAGGCTTATATTCCAACAGTATTTGCTTATGTTTAACTACTTGCTAGTTTATTGCTTATAACTCATTTTTTCCTTCAGTTGTGCTGTGATATAAACTTTTAAATCCCTTTATACCTTACCCCTTAAAAGTCATTTGGTTTGCAAGTGGAATTTTGTATTCATTGAGAGAAATGAACTGATTCTATACAAGGCTGTTTGGGCACTTCATTATAGTAGAAAGTAGAGTGAAGAACTGTTAATGATTGTTCTATGATATGTGGACAGTTCTTTGGAAAGGCTCCATGTATACTGCAAAAATAAACAGCTGTTTGCATAAAAGTTGTCAGAAAAAGGACAAATTACAAACAACAATTGTGAAAGGTAATCTAGTTATCTGGAAATCAATGAATTTTAATAAGTGGAACAAATAAATATGGAGAAAAATAAAAATGAACAGGGTATGAATACCAACATGCATGTGAATACGACAGGGACAAAAAATGGAATATTACATCGTTAACATTTTTTTTCAGGTCACTTTGAATTCGCTCTTGTTGAGTTTACATCATTTTTGTCCTTCATTAGGGTTAGTCTTTCATCAAGTTCAGAATTAAAATCCAGTGTTGCAAACAAAATAAATTCATCAAACCCGCTAAGCCAAGGCCTCTCCCTTACGGTGATGTTTTCTCAGATTTCTCTGAAATCCTGAGGTCAAGAACTGTGACCTAAAAACTACCCACACTTCCTTATGGGGTTGTCCCAAGCACTTTTGTTTTTGCGACAACCTCTTTGCAAACAGCTGTATCTAACTTTTAGTAATCATGAAGAATAGACTCCCTTTCTGACTTCTTTAGGGAAGGATATCATTTTACATGACAAACTATGGTGAAGAAGCCACTCACTTTGGAAGTGCTGCAGCTCTTCTGCCTGAAGATGTGGTGCTTGGTCAGTACCGTGAAGCTGGTGTCTTAATGTGGAGAGGTTTCACTTTAGATGACTTCATGAATCAATGTTATGCCAATCAGCATGACTTTGGGAAGGGTAGACAGATGCCTGTTCATTATGGCTCAAAGAACCTTAACTTTATCACAATTTCATCCACTCTGGCAACTCAGATGCCTCAAGGTGAGTTTTTAGTAAACCTTTTTACTCTTGTGCCTATACACCTTAACATCAGTATCCTCATTCTCTATACTTTTCTCTATACATTTCCTTTGATACTGACAAGGAGAATTCATTTAACAATCAAAACTTCTGAGGTTGGTGATCATTTCCTTTATTCTCACAGTCTTAATGAGTAATTCAGCAGTATTATTGTAAGGAGAAATTAGATACTGATCACTCTCAAGGTTTAGAGGGTTAACAAGGCTATGCTTTTGTAGAAAGCGGATACTGCAGCAGTGACTTTTTTCTTCAGACAACTTGTTTACTTTTCTTTTTATGAAAGCTGTAAAGGGCTGGGCTCCTTATTGATTTAGCTAGGCACTGAATCACCTCTGAGAGAGCACAAAATTGCCAAAGAAAATTAATGGTGATGTATTCTGTTTTTCTCATTACTCCTGAGAATTGCTGATGATTTAAGAATTGGTTTACACATCGGCTTGCTTTTATCAGGGTATGAAGTATTCTCAAAGAGTAGGGAGCATGAATGTTGATTGTAAAAAATGTGTGAGATGCAGCCTGGGGCAACTCTGCCTTTTTAACTCTTTAACTCCCAAGATCTCAATAGTAATTCTCCTTACTGTCTCCCATTCAGTTCTTGTGATGTTAGTTTGGAGAATTTGGTATTGGATCAACTTATAATCCCCTAACTTTTATTTTTCTTTATTCTCATCTCTTGGCTGCTTGATAATGTATTGATATTGAGGATTGAGGACCCTCCAAACCTACCAAAGGCTTTATATCTGGATAAACACACTGCTGCATGATGTATCGCCTAAGGTTGTTAATTGTAATGTAGTACTGGTACTGAGTGATAGTTCAAAACCTATTTTCAGCATCTGGATATGCATATGCTGTAAAGCGAGCAGGCACTGGAAATTGTGTCATCTGCTACTTTGGTGAAGGAGCAGCAAGTGAAGGAGATGCCCATGCTGCCTTTAACTTTGCTGCAACTCTTGAAGCTCCTGTCATTTTCTTCTGGTAAAAATAAAAATTAGAGACCTCTAAATTTTTTTTTTGTTTAGCTGATTAGCTCCCTGACATGTAGTTCTTCCTCCTAAATGCATTATTGTTTCTTTGTGTCCAGATCTATAAGCATTTTTTCACAAATGCTGGAACCTGGTTGGCTATGCTTGCCTAGTTACTATCTATTCCACAATAGATTGTATGTAAAGTTAGAAGCCTGATGATTGGCAGTTTAAAACTAAAGTAAATTATATGGAAAAAAAAGTTGGCTGTCTTGTTGTTAAGTTTAATTGACATGGGCGTCATCCTCATTAGTTATCATCTGTGGTAGAAATCAAGAGTGAATGATCTAATTGTTAATTATGCTGGTTGAGGGAATTTGTTCAGATTTTCTATTCTTGTTACCTACTGCTGAAAAATCTTTGGAATTTTTGAGGAGAATTTAAAGGTTTAGCATTTCTGAGAGTTAGAGGATTAAGAGGACAACATGAAACTCTGTACATCTAAACTAAATCATCCAATTTGGCATAAATTTGTAAATTCATTATTGACTCTTAGTGTGAATCTATTTATGTTTTTGTATTGTTTCCCCTTCTTGAGTTATTGTGATGATTATTTTTTATGTATGTTTTTCTGTGTGGAGTATCAGAACATCTGACCTTTTGATATCTTTTGCCAACAGCCGCAACAATGGTTATGCCATATCTACTCCAACAGGTGACCAGTACAGAGGGGATGGAATTGGTAATTGTTATCATTTCTCTGTTTTCTGTAATGTACTTTGCTTTATGTCTCCTCTCTTGTCATATCAACCCTTCAAAATCTCAGCTATGTTAAATAGCTGTTCTATTTAACATGCCACTTTTAGTGGGCAATATTAAGGAGTGGGTGCTTAAAGACCTGAACTGACTTTTGATGTACCTTCAACTTCTCCTTATGTTTCACAAAGGAATGAAAGACAATTTGATGGGAGAATCCATAAGTTTATCAGAAGTAACTTCCATGCATCCCTTCAAACAGAAAATTAACCTAAGCAACACAACATGAAAAAAATTCTGGCTTCAATGTTCCTCTCAGATGTTAGTTGGGAACTACTCATGGTGGATCTAGGGGAGGGGCCTGGGGGGCCCAGGCCCCCCTCTTATTTTGGTAAAAAAAA